TTGGTTCCTTGCCGCTGTCGCCTCTGGCTTGCTTAGTTGGGGACACTTCATTTCCAGCGATACCGTTGACTTGATTGCAAAGATACTATTTAAACTGAGCTGGATGTTGACATCACTGAATTCAATGATGAACTGTCTTTAACTGAAAAATTTGTGTTTACTATTGTCATTTTGCATTATTGACACTATTTTCCTAATTAATGCTGTTCAGTTGCTTTGACACAATCTGTATTGTTAAAAGCGCTATATAAATAAAGGTGACTTGACTTGACTTGACTTCTTACGTGTCAGCTGGTACATGTTCTCCAGCCCTGATCATACACACACATGAAGAACACCTTCAACCAAACACTGGACATGAACATCCACACAAACACACACACGCTGTGAGATCTTACCCAGCCAGTATTCTCCCTCCACATTCCCAAATCCTCTCTTGTACTGATCCCACGGCCGATAGAAATTCACACTGCCGTCCATTCTCCTCTGAATCACCTGTGATGGGTTTATAGAGAATATATGATTCATAATGAATGTGCTGATGTGTGTTTAATGATCTAAAGTCGTACCGTCCATCCTCCTTTATCTTCATCTTTCCCATCTGAGATCATCTGACAGTAAACCCAGACAGGAATGTCTCCTGCTGGATAGATGGAGTAAATCCCACTGACTGTTTGTCCTGCTTTATAAAGGTCAGAACAGTCGACTGGCAAGTCTTCATCATGACTGCATCCGCTCACCAGAACAACAGAGAGAAGAGCTGCTAAAAACACTAACATCTACACGAGACACCGAGAGAGAAAGAGCTGAACATCACACTGAAAACATCTCTAGGAATGTAGTTATTGATGAACTTACTGCCATCTTCTCAAACTCTCCTCAGTAGATCACAGCAGAGATCAGTTGATGTTTTTTTTTATCTAGGCAAAAATAACAGAAACGTTTTCATACTTGATATACTTTGACATTTTGTTTATTTTCTGAAAATATATAGTATAAATGTCTGAATATTCTGAGGTAAATGATGAATAAAGCAGTGACTCACCGTGTGTGTTCTTCAGTCTGACACAAACACTCTTTGTATCTGTCAGATTCTCAGGCTCCTCCTCTGTGTTACAGAATACATTTACATTACAAAGACACATATTTTGGATGCAAATAAAAAAAAGAGAGATTTGTCATGCTTTTTTCAAGTTAAAAATACAGTCACAAGCTGTATTTGCTGTGTTTGCAGTGCCTTGGCCCTGAATTGCTGCTTTTCAGCTATATTCTTATTATTATTAATAAGAATAGGGACACCGATGACTATTTCTAGCAACATGACAATGTCACAACTGGTATTTATGAGCAACAAATTGCCTCTAGATACTGAACCATTGGTCCAATTGACGTCAGAATTGGCATATAGTGTCTTTGTCCAAGTTATCATAGTGCATGAGGAAAGTTGAAAAGTCTTGAATAACATGGCCACCATCAGCCGAAAAGAATCCAGCAGTTATTAGGAAAGATTAAGAGCAAATCAGCATATAACGTGGTGGACTTTTTTTACTCTTGACATGAGATGTTTGTGCAATTTTTTAAAGCAAAAATTAACAACAGAGTGGCGTTGTCAAGTTTTACAGACATATGAATGGCTGAATGCACTCCTTCACAGAAAGAAAAGGATGTGATATATCTCTGCAACTGTTTGCCATATAAATATGAAATCATTTGATATTATTTAATATTTATATATGGTCTAGGTTAATATGTATTAAAACATAATGCTTTGTGAAAAAAAAATAATAATACTTTGAGGGGGGGGGGG